GGACCCTGTCCCGCAGACCCGGCCCCCCTGTCCCGCAGCCCGGACCCTGTCCCGCAGACCCGGCCCCCCTGTCCCCCAGCCCGGACCCTGCCGCGGGCCCCGGGCGCACGCAGAGTGCGGGTCTCCCTCCCCGCAGCTGCAAACCGCAAGGTTTGGTTCGGTTAGGTCTGTTAAGGCCTGTCTGGGAAGGCAGGGCGCGAGGGAAGGCGAAGGGAGCCCGTTCGTGGTTGCGCTGTTTCTAGAAGGGGAGCAGTGGGAAGTGACCCTCACACGGTGTCACAGATCAAGAGGGCAGCAGGCAGTTCTGGGTGAGGTAACGGGTGGGTTGGGTGCCAAGTGACAGTCTGTGAGTAATGGTGGTGAACTGGTGAACTCTGCGTGTTTCCAACAGGGAGGTGGTGTCACCTGTGGTAGGATTACGCACACCTGGCAAAGGTAGAGAATTCTTTGGTTTGCAGGTAGAAAGCCCTGGCGTGGAGCAGCCGGGGTGGGGGGGCTGGGTTACAGAAGCCCAGCTTTAAACTATGGCCTGATGAGAGAAGTGCCGAAGTTCAGCACCTCCTACAAGCGGTAAACGGTGCTACCGTGGCAGCCACATACAAATAGTAGGTGTTGGTGGAGTTGTCCCTGGTTTACCTGTAGGTAAGTGTACAAGTCCTAGCTGGTTGTGCAGTGCTCTGCTGTAGCTTTTTAAAAACATTATGCACTGGATTGCCATATATTAACTCATTTATGTAAGTTTGAAGTTGTGCTGTCATTTCTTTGATAGGTGTTATTTCAAATTACTTGAGGAATCGTGTATTTCATTGGATACATTTAACTGTTCCCGAATTTCACCTCTTCCCCACTTCACTGTGGACAAAAGGTCGTGAAGCTACTTCCAAGTCATGTGATGTTTACTTCAGGGTTTTTTAAGGAATTAACTTTCACAGTTCCAGTGTTAAGGTACCCAATGGCTACTGGATTAATCAAGTTTTCTATCACTTAGATGAAGCCTGTTATCATAGCTGTGGATTCATCTTCTGTGTTCTAAAAAAGAAACCTGAGCAGTAAGGAAAAGAGATTCATGACCAATGTGTTTCATAGGAAATTCAAAGGATATTTATTAGTCTAAATTCTGCAAAGCAGAAATAAGCTGCCAGAGAAAGAACCAGTAGAAGCTGGAAACGAATCCTCTTTTCTCACCTGGATTAATTGTCGCTAATCCGTAGTGTCAAGTTTAGGCTGATCCCATCTGGAGCAAGACTTTGCTCTGTGTATCTGCAGAGTCATCTGCTCGTTGACCTCATTCCCTGGCACACTGCTCCCTGTTACCTGCCCGGGAAGTACAACTGCAGCAGTGAAAAAATCAATGTCTTTCTGAATTAGAGAGGACAAGGTCAGTCAGCTGGTGCGATGTTGGCTGCTCTACTGTGTGGCACAATGCAGTTTTTTATAAATACAAATACTTTTTATTTTCCCCCTCCCCTTCTTTTTAACTTTCTCCTCCTCTCCCCCTCGTACTTGTTGCAGTGCAGCTGACAGTACACCCTGCTTTGCTGGATTTATTGCAGATAATTCCATCATGGGCTAAGAGGGAAGGTGATGCTACATATATCCTATATATCCCTGTGATTATTATATTGTAGAATAAATTACAATAAACAACATACATAAAATTATTTTGTTGTCCTGTGTTTTACAAAATGCTTATATAGCATTTATTTTAGATTTTACCTGAGCATATAGAAAAAAACAACAAACCACCAGTTGATGTCAAATCCAGTCTGATGTTTTTCACCCCAAAGCTTCTAACAATCAGTGTTTATTTTGGCTTAAATGAAAACTGTTCCCAGTGACTTAAAGTGTGTGTGTGGGGGGGAGGAAGGTCTTTTAGAGAGAATGAATATTCTGGATCTGTAACACATTTTAAGTGTACCTGTTAATGTAAT